GGATAATCAGCTTGGGCGATCGGAGGAGTTTTTTAACTCCGAAACCAAAGCTAAACCTTTATCCTTCAAATATATATGTTCCTAATGCACTGTTTCTCCATTGTTGGTCAAATACACTTGATGATGCATGGGTAACGGATTCCTGATTTTTTGTCCAATTCTCTCTGTGTGCTGTTTACGTGAAATGTTTCTGATATCAAAAGTAGTTTAAAATTTTGAAAGAATCTTGCACTCTCTACCCAAATACACGGGTGCGGTAAAATATTTGATGAATTTTTTATCTGATTTCATGCACACCAATCGATCACTATTTTTGAATTGTAAAACTTGAAGTGACAAAGTGAGATTTGTGATGCTTTTTTGTCCTTCTTCCTTGGTTTTATTTCGCTGCACACCAAAATGCGGTAATCAGTTGAAAAAGTGATGCTTATATTTACTCTTGTATCCAATCATTTTTCATGCATATCCATTTTACCCTGAATCTTTGTATTCCTTTCGCCGTTTTGCTTCTCCATTGGTTTATTTGATGAATAGCCGAAATAGGGCATGCGAAATCTGTGCACAGAAATGCAAACTTCACGGTTGTACAAAATGAGAATCCATCCCCGTAATCTCTTGGAGTTTATTCATTACCTGGTTATGTTAATCGACAGTGTAAGTCGTGGAAATGAAAGTGATGAAGCGCTCAAGGTTCTCCAGTACGATCGGTTTGAAATTAAGTTGTGTGACTGTAAGGCCATCTAACATCAGATCGTATGCATTAGACCACCACATTTAAAACAACTGGCACAAATCTTTCTCTCTTTTGAACCTATGAGACTCTTGTGTTAATCGAATTTTCGGCGTCCATATTACAACGATTTGTCTACTTGAAACAAATATACTGTCGCTGCGATCTCCAGCTATCAGTCAAGTCAGTCGAGTGTATGCTGCCGCCTATACGATGGCACTGTTTGGCACTGCCGTTTGGTGCCAAGAGATGGCCGATACGGGGAGAGGGNGGGGGAGGGAGAAACACAGACTATCAGCATGTGGTTCGCCACTCCAAGTCCCGGGGCTTGTGTTACCGGTTTTTATCACTAAATAACAGGCTTTGGTGACTCTGGGGTTGATCCCGACTGTTGTTCATCACAATAAGGTGTGTAATAAAGAATACGAACACATCTGAGTTCAGACTGTGCCAAACAAATGCTACGATCATTGACAGAATTTTTAAAATCGGTTCTCGTAGCTCGGGTGAACTGAATTTCATTTCGCCTGTTCGTTGAGCTTGTCAATTTGTTTGCAAACGTTTCATCATTACCCGAACTGGAGAAAAACTGTCAACAAGGATCCTTGAACACCAATCAGTAGTCAGTAGACATGATCCATTATCGGTGATTTCCCTAAACGAAGATCAAGAAGGATATCTGTTTGACTTTGAATCAGGGAGAATTATCGATCAAGCCCCACCAAAACGTACCAGAGAATTTCTCGAGGCTTGGCACTCTTCAATCAACCCAATAAACGAGCACATCGAATTGGATCACGTGTATACGCCAATGCAACTCAAGGATCAAATGTTGCAACAAAAAAGGTCACGCCGTGACCTGAGAACGGAACGAAACCGCAATCAGGACGAAAGGACAAACCCCTTCCAGCCCCGCGCACCAGTTTAACGGTGAACCGAGTCAAACAGAGTGAGAACAAGAAACAAAAATAGTCCGGGCAGGAGAACATGTATAAACCAACGGATACAAGCAGAACACTGCCCCTTCACAAGCACTGATGATGTCACCTCGGCTGGTGATGAAACGTTTGCAAACAAATTGCCAAGCTCGGCGAACCGGCGAAATGGTACGATCATTTTCATCCACGATTTGCTCGAGGGTGTAATACGGCTAGGTTACCCATGCAAAAACGGGTGAATTTTCCTAAGGAATGCACAACCGGAGCCTTCGGCTACCCAAAACCTGACCCGTAAGGCAGCGGGGTGGTGGTTGAAGCCTGAAATCCATTGAGGTTGGTGTTCAGTTCATCAGACCATACGCCCCTTGGACGGGGTCAAACGTCCAAGGTGCCCAATATACACCTCGATGCCCAATCGGGTCGGTGACCAATGCCACTACCAGGAGGGTGTGCGCGTGTTTCGTACGCCGTTTCTTGGTTGGAATCAGGGAAGCAAGGTATTTAGTCTTCGTAGGTGACCAGTGGTTCACGGACCCGTTTATAGCCTCGGATGTTGACTTCTCGTCCCATCACTTTGAGAAAACACCAGACACCAAGAGAACGCTGTATGGCTTCCTCAGCAGAAGCTACTTGAAACGCATTATCTTATGGGAGCATTTCGTGAGGTGCAAGGGAGGGGCGATCAGCTGCAATCCGAGACACTCATCCCCGACCATACCGAGGCTTTCCGAGGCCACTATAATCATAAGAACCAGTAAACCGATCCATGAACTAAGCGTGAAAAAATTGTGTTGCAAAGGACGACAGGAAAAGCCACGTGCGATCTATCTTTTACACCACGTGTTTACCTTTCCAGATACAAGTGTGTGACTGATTCATTCGGTTGTTCACCCGTAACTAATGTACAAAGATCAGTGCTGAATGGGATTGTCACCACGTTATGGCTGGAGTTCAATTCTAATTCGACTTCTGAGAACATTTCCTGATTCTCGCAGTTCTTGTTAGGTTTGATGATGTCGTTGTCCAAAATACTTCAAATCTGTTTGTTTTTTATAGCTTCTTTTCGTCTATCAATAGGCAACCTCACTTTGCCAAATATCACACCAACTGTATCCGTCGTATTTTACATGTTTTATCTGAGCGTCCAATTCAATCTCTCTGTGTTCTCATCTGTCTTCCCAGCGAGTTGTGCCACCCGTGCTGGCGTTTCGTCTCGGATCTCTGGGCTTTCTCACTCCTTTCCCGTTCCGTAATTTTCCTGCCCACTTGAAGGTCGCCATGGAAGGTTAGTCTTTTTTATTGTTGCTGCTGCCGTCGAACTGTTCCCATTTTCCCCCATGTACTGCCTTTTCTGTGAAAACTCCATTGATCTCTTATCTCATTAAAAATCGGAGCACTTTACTACATTCCTGTTCTACCGGGTATTTTTCAAGAGGTGGAAAATGCTCCGCGCACAGAAAGCAGTTCAACTTTAGTTCATTTCACTTAAAGTCAATTCAAGTGTGTACTGTTTTCACCCATTGGATGCATACTCGATAACTGTGAACCGTGATAATCATCAGTTTTATAGAATGTAAATGGGTTTGTGCATCCGCCCTCTGTTCAAAATCGAAGTGACCGCTTTTTACATCAATGAAAGTTAAAAGGTAAGCTGGCAAAGTGAGTTACAATCGACCAGAGTACAAATAATTTTTGCAGGTAGAATTACATTTGTTCGCGTTTTGATGTACGTTGTATGTGTATATTCAGGAAGGATTTTGTGGGACATGTTCCCACAAGCCTTGAAATATTTTGCTAAAATAAAGGTGTCCAGAATTGCATGAAGGACACTACTGCAAATAAACAAATACCTGAGAGATATAGACACTAGCTTGAAATTTATTATAAGCATACTGAGAAAAAATACTGGGAACGGGTAATGCTGGCGTGGCAAGATGCAATTGCAAAGTGTCGAATAACATTCAGGGAGAATGATTGCGCGTCCAGTTGAGAGGCATGAATTATTGGCGTGGTCGAACCATGTCGGCTTTCAGTTAAAATTTATATCAAGGTATTTAAGAAGTGTTTTTTTAGTGAGTAGTGTATCTTTGAGTAATATTTAGGAAGAAGTATTAAGGAATTTAAAATGAAGCGTGTTGTTTTTGAAGGAGAATGTAGCGTGAGCATATTGAGTGACGTTTACACCAAGTTTACAGTGAATTTAAAAAGAAACCTTTGAAAATACGAGAAAGATAGTATTTTCAACGTTTGCATGCCAGAAATGAGGTCATCTACATAATTGATAAGAAAACTACATATAAGAACAGGCAATGATGGGGTGTTATTTGTCAGGCGGTTTAAGCCGCAATCACAATCGTGTTTTGGGCGCTAGGGTCCAAGGTTCGGAATCAGTCACCGCCATCCAACGTTGGTGGCAGACAGCTTCGCTGTCGTCCAGATCAACGCCACGTCCAACTTTGTGGGACCTTTTGCGGTTCGCCGCTCCAGGTCCCGGGGCTTCAGTTACCGGTTTCCAGGAGCAGGAGGTCGTCATACCTATGAGGTTCACCCCTTGTACTGTTCATCACGGAAAAAGGTATGCAAGAGAATTATTGTGTAAATAAATGCATAATCTGGAAGTGGGGCCGGAATCGCGCCCTAAAGTAAACCTAAAGCGAAGGTCAAACCCACCAACTATTATCATTATTATTTTATCAGGCTATTGTATAACGTCGGTTGATTCGATGACGCATGGCACAGGGTCTTAACATAAGGCTTCCACCAACTGTTTAGAAGGTTAAGAACTAACTGTTGTCAGATCTGAGGTCCAGCCCTTCAACATCCACTGGTAACGACTGATTATGGAAGGAAGCATCTCTAAATTACCTGAGGATGTACCAAGTTTCGCTTCCGTTTTCCATTTTACAGAATGTAACAGACAACGAAGCAAGTTTTCGAAGTTCACACTTAGTGGATTTAGTAGTCGTTTTTGCAGTTGCTCATTCTTCAGAAGTGGAGGCTCTTTTTCAAGTGGGAGATGAAGAAGAACAACTGTTGCTACGAATGTACAGATTTTTTCATTTTCGCCAGTTGGACGAGCTTGGCAGTTTGTTTGCAAACATTTCATCACCAACCGAGCTGATATCTTCAATGTTTGTGAGAATGTTACCTTGGCTGATGATGAAGCGTTCTTAAAAAGTACCAAGCTCGGTGAGCAAGCAAAAATTCCCGATCTGCGTGAACCGATTTTCGATACTTTGTCAACAGTGCGTCTTACACATAACAGACTGTGATAGAAGCTGAGGTAATCAGTGTGAAGAGTGAATGCATCTGCTTGGGAGGACGAGATTAAATCAGTGTTAGCAACCATTTCTCTGAGATACTTGCGCAAAGGTTGCAGCTGTCGACAATTTTATTTGATTAGACTTGCTATGAATTGCTGGAACATTTTTAATTAGCATGTAGTTAGGGGGATCCAACGTGCAGCGAAGAGGTAGAAAAAGGGTAATACTGTTAACAAAAGTCACAAGTTATGTTCGAAAGTATTCTGTTTATCAAACCGAGTGTTTGAAATATGCATATGAAGGTTACCATAAACACCACACAGAAGAATGAATGCGATTGCTCAGGGCAACGCAGACGGATTCAAAGAAGCTGATGAATTCATCTACTGGACAGGTTGAAGGAATGTCTGTTTTTTAGGGAATGGTAATTGCTGCAGTAATTTTGCTTACTCTCGTGCGCGGATGCACAAATATGAACATTGAATCACATGAATGGCTGATTCTCGTGCTTACACCAATCATTACGAATATGAGTCACAAGGTGTCCGCCGAACTTTTGGCACGACAATCAATTCGATAACCGTCAATTTTAATAATTTAATCTTTAGTGTGAGTATGCGACTAGGTCGTTCGTAAGTTCAAATGTTTCAAGTCTAGTGAGATTAAATATATTCATGAGTTTCCTGACCTGACGTTATTTCTCAAAAATACCGATATACACAATTAGGGAAAATGCTTTCAGCGTAGTGCCACTCTCACTCCACCTTGATGCTTTCCCCAGTGCCCTCGAGAGTTCTAATTCTTTTGTGTCTGTAACCCAAGGATTTTCCGAATTCCGCGCCAGCCACTTGCACCTTTTATCAGGAGAAACTGGGTCCAGCGCCTGAACCAGAACTCAAAGGTTACTCCGATGTCAGGAGCGTAGTGGTTCAATGACGGGGGCCATTGGAGGGAGCAGGCTGGCCCAGCATATCTAGCCTCTTGGACAGAGCCTCGATCATTTTGGCCTGCGACTGCATGAGGCGTTTAATATCGGGGTCGAGGTTGTGTGCCATTCACGAAGTACATCCTCACCAAGATCTATTGAAACGTTCGAATAAACGATATGATCGGAATAGCTCGGAACGTAAGCCCAATGAACGCAGGGTAGGATAGACAACCATCGGAGTGAGTACAACACGAACACGCCCAGGCTGCGACACCCATCGCGATTCTAAAGAGAATCGGAAGAACTCCCCACGAGACTACTACGATCCCGGAACCCAAACAGATGGAAGCCAGCCCTTTTGGATTGAGCCAAGTACACAACCGATTTATTTGACTGTTTGTTGGGCCAGAAAATGAAATAAATAGTAGGTCTCGGTTTTTGCCTAATAATCAGTGAGAAGGAGTGGTAAGGGAATCTGAACTCTTTAGGTATGAATTCTGGGGAAATGTGCAAAGAATTCAACACCTGAAAGCAAAGATTGATTGCTCTAGCTGTAAAAAAGGCACCAAATGTTGTCTTAAAACCAGATTGATTCAGAGGATACAGGCGAGTGATCACAGGAGTTGAAAAATATTGTCTGTCTACTATCCTGCATTAAAGTGTACCACATTTGAATTGTTTTCCTCCCGCTGGGTGTTGCCACTCCTTGAAACACTAGATTTATTTTTTAGGTCAGTCCATCAACACAATCTTCCCGTCTTGTGTGAGATCCCTGAATACTGACTGGTTAGTCCTGGTCGACGGATTATACGTTTTTATACCTATTCAGTTATTCGTGAACTCCGTCACTATAGTCCATGGGTTCCTTTAATTCCATGGAACCGTGATGAAAGGTCGGTAAATTTGCCTTTCGAACCTCAGTAATTTTGGAACAATTGTTGAGTCTTCATTCGCCATCAGTAGTGGATCTGTCTGTGAAATAAGTCGCGCTCGGAATATCTTGGCCGAACAGTTCGTTTTCTGGTAGCTTAGTTTGTGCTATGTGCTGTGTGGGACCAGAAAAGCAGCCACCTATAAGTATTCCCCATACTAAAAAATTTGAGACGGCCCATCTGCATCTGACCTCGGACGCGTGGGTAAGCTGGCTCTACAACAGAGCCACGGGATGGAAAGCTGACGTAAGAAAATGCAACAATTGGAATTTAAAGTGACTTCAAATTTCGATAACCGGCTCCAATCACTGTCATAGCTCGTTAGAAGTGACCTTCAGATATTGAGAAAGGGACCGAATGCATGGAACAACCATTTGCATGGTTTAACGTGTTTCACTAGTCGGATTGCTGATAGAAATTCGCTGATGCTACGAGGAGTATTTTCGGTTTACGGTTTGAGCTACCTCGTTATTCTTCGAGGCATTCAAGATTCCGATGTGTACTTTCATGCACTGAAACGCTATCTATCTACTTTCCCTAATGGTGTTGAATGGTTGGGTAGAGGCCTTATTTAATCGGGATAATGCCTCAGTTCACAACTCGCATCTTACCAGAAGCTGGTAATTGTTCCACGGTATTAAAGTGATGATGCGTCCACTACTCACTGGTGAATATTTGGGACATTCTTACTTGCATGCTGTATCACAATTCCAGAATACATTAGTTTAAGGATAAACTAGAAGCCGCCCCCGAAATGGAACATCTGTCTATCAGCTAGGATGTGTTTGTGAACCTCGAAGAAGGTAACCTCAAAATATCTGTCCATGTAATATGATGATGATGATACGACCAACTCATGAACAAATTTGTTTATACAGTCCGTATCATATTTCGGTATTTTCACCGAGCTGCTAGGGAACATTGGTTCTGGTCACTGGTAAAACTGTCATTTTTTTGGTATTTGGTTATGAGCACCCTGCCAACCACTGACTGTTTCTTTAGCCACGTGGGAAGTGTCCTGTGCCTCTATCGAGCCATGTTTGGCGAAAGTTACAAAATGCGAACGTCAAATTCTGGGATAAAACACCCAGAGTAACATCGGCTGATGAGTATGGTGCAACCTCAACCTCGTGAGTATGTGATTGATTCAGTCAGTTTCGGCACGAACACCCGTACATGCGCGTTGCTTCCTCACTCCCAGTATCATGATATGTTCGAATTTTCCCTACTTAAGGTCTGCTGTGGGGAGAACCCTGTTGAATTTGGTGCACGAATCTAAGAAAATTTTAGCGTATCTTTTTTGGTGTAGGTTGAACCCAATTTTTTTTAACGTGTATTATCGCGTTAGTCACTATAATGAGCATACACACAGGGTTATTCACCAGTCAGTTAGACTGCAGATACCAAAGAATACAGCTCATTTTACTGCCTTTTTCCTATCACTCTGCAACCCGGGCCCCGGTCTATACGTCGTACACCAGGCTCTCCAAACTGTCTGCTTCGCATGCGACTTTGTTGCCAGATTTTACGGGACAACAATTCTGCACCCTCATCACGCAATCACACACCGTCTGACGAGTCCTCGGACGGATCGAAGTCGCGGGGGAGTTCACCGGACACCGAGTACCACGTGAGTATCCGTTGCCGTTTGCCTGATCCTATTCATCCTCAAATGGCTTTCCTCTTTGTTACCTGTGGGCTGTGGATTTGTCTGCTCCTGGTACTTTTTTCTGTAGTCCATTGAGCTCCTTTTAATCCTTATCCTTTCAGTATGATAGGATACTGCGAAGTTGGCATGAGCCACATACCCGGTCACTAGCACTGTTAACCGATATAATTTGCTTGTTGAAATTCTTTAGGGACACCTTGAATGGGCTTTGCCTTTCATGCTGTAGTTGCGGCTATATGACACTGTAGAACCAACAGTGCTAATCGATCCTGAGACGCGCGGTTCACACGTTCAGGTTGCGGATACATCTCATCGCCCTATCGAACTAGTTACATTTACGACGAGATTGTTTTCGAATATTTTGGTATACCTCTTATTATTGGTAGATTTAGAATCAGGGTCTTCCAGCTTATTTAGATAAGCTATCTGTATGTAGTCCATCAACTATGGGCATAGTTTCTCTCACTATAACCAAATTGCCCTCTTCACAAGAGGGCAACCACCAGGTCCTCCTCGAGAGATTCATTCTTCGATGTAATTATTTGGGGCTAACACGAGGACTCACCCATTCTGGGAGAGACTGGCATCCTTTGAGGGACCGAAAAATGCAATAAGTTCAAGTATTCAAGTGTAAAATATATCGTCCTGTAAGTTACCTAGTTGTTTGACCACGATCCCGATACGACATTATCATGTCCNGTCCCCACTTTTCTAAACGTATTTCAACCGATGTGTTTAATGGTTAACCGCGCTTTCCTAATGATGAGATAGATCCCTTTATTTTGTGTCACCCTTTCTTCAAACTGCTTCCCACAGTGCACTGAAATGCACAGACCTACCTGGAATTTTATTATCCACAAAAATCTGATGCATTTTAGTTTGCCAGCTACAACTCTGACTAAGACTGCTACCCAACGATTATGCATGATTTATTTCGTAATTCTCTTTCTTTCCTTAGTTTCTTCATCAGCTTGTGATCAAGTTCCACGTTCCAACCATCTTATCGATGGATAAAGTACACAAACCGCTTGAAGGATATTAGTCATGCACCCACTTGCACTTAAGCGCGCTTCTTGCGCTGATGCGTCAAACCTACAGTCTGTAATCCCGTTTAAGTCTGTTACACTTGTTTTTTTGTGCACCCTGTTGGTGATACTTAGTCCCAGTCTAACACCGACACAGCACAGCTGTCTGGTATTCTCATGTTGTGACGTTGTACGTGGTTCTTGATTTGATACACACTAGACCCTTGTTTTCCCTCAAGGCGACTGAAAAACTGCCCACTTTGTTCGTTTGTCCATTTCAATGCTGTGAAGGGGTATGATTTAGCCAACACGTTCAAACTGTACGTACATTACTCCTGACGCAGATTAGCAGTTGTACTTCAGTGTTACAAACTGCAGTAAATTGCCAACTCAGCTCCAGTGATATGTGCTACAAATCCAACCACGCGTAGCTGTTTTTTCCAGATAGATAAACTATGTCAATCGGTGTCAAACTCGTCACAACAGTGCGTTGTAGGTTGCCAATATGATATCAGAGTTCGTAGTGATTAATGTAAAAAAACTGTCGCACATTTTTCTAACTTTTCGTCAATGCGTCTGAACACAACCTGCTAGAAGGTAGCTAAATGCCTGTAGCTTATTATTGATTATTTTCATAGAGCTGAGTAAATAAAATTTGTATGAACACCAAGGTCATTTATATACTTTTAGGTTTGTCGATAATGCCTAATGATAAGTATTCTTGCAGACTGTATAACAGTGCGTGAATGTTGTACACCTAGGGGTTCGATGTGCACTGTTTAAACTGGTATAACTCTGCTTTGTTTAGAGAAATGTGATCCGGATCTTCTGAGTCTGTTCATGTTGATGGACAGTGTTATTTTCTACTTTGCGTAACAAGAGATATACACTGCAATTACCCCGAACATGAAGCATGTGCACCGGTCATTATCAGCACAATTGTGTGCTATACACATTTGTGGTTTTTACTTTATACTATAACCAGTCCCCCTTCGGTTGACATGTCAGTTCTCTGCTCCCTTCGTTTGATTATCAATCCATACAATCCTTTTAGTTTCTGAACGAGTTGGTTATTGACCGGGGTCTGTCACCCTTTCCCTGTGACCTCATGGTTAAAGTCAATGGTCGAAAAGTCACACACTTTGAAGGTGATGGTAAGTCGATTATTTGTTTATCTGGTTATCGACATATCGGTTTTTGTGTTTGCTCATCACTGGGGAGCTTTGCCCCCAGTGGTGAGTAGAGAGCCAGTTGCTGTTGTTTAGAGTGATATTTTGACTTCGAATGATGAATCCAGACCGTTTTACCTACCAGTACACTGAGGACGGATGTTGCACTGCTGACGAAACCATTGGGTGATGAAATGCATCTACGGTGCACGCGAAACGCAGTTTGTTACCGCATGGTGAAATGAGATTCGGATAACTTGAATTGCAATTGCACTTGCAAGGATCAAATGGTCGCCATTCATCGCGAGAAAAAAAAACATTCTGAGGTTTCACTCACGAACCCCATTCTGTCAATTTTCAGAAAGCTTTTCATGAACTGGAGCGTAATTCGTTTCTTAAACGTCTCTGTCCGTTGGAGCGTATTAATTCCTTCTATTTGAATGGTTAACTTCGAAGCAGGAAGAGGTGGTATTTTGAACTGCTCTTTGACTTAGTTTACTAATTATCCTGCATGTAGTTAATCTGCGATATCATCTGTTCAACAGATTGTTTCAATGATACCTAACCTTTCCTCTCTGAATACGTGAAAATACGTTTATTCTCTATTTGGCCTTTGACTCTATCACACTTTCTCGTGCTTGGTATCCAGCATACACTCCAGCCCTTGTATAAAACAGTTTTTGATTATGCTTGATATTCAGCCGTTATTTATTGCTCCTGGGATTAAATTACAGGGGTTCAATCAATTACAGTGCTTTCGTAAAATTCTCGGACCTTGCAGACCAGTAGCTCAGCGCACAGTTTAAGCTTTACTCCCGGCGTATAGAAATGGTCGTGTTTTAAAAGGTATTACTCGATCACCAAATTATTCTGTTGTGCCTTCAGTTGGATATCCTGAAAGAACCGATGTGTTTTACCGCAATATTCATCTCAGTCCAGTAATGGTAGCTAAGCTCACTTTTCTTGCTTATCTCACTACCGTCTGCGCTGTGGTCGGTGCATGGATGTACATGCACATGCATAGAGTGGAGAAAGTGTCAGAGCTGGGTTCAGGCTCCCCTGAAATGATTGTCTGCAATTTTTAATCTTTTTTAGATGCACACCGGAATAGCGATTTGATGCTTTTAAATTGTGATCATTTCTGACTTTCAGAACGAGTGATTCACAGTACTGTGAACGATGGTAGAATCATTCCATCGCCTTTTCTGGTTTAACCTTCCTTCACTTGCTAAGTATCCAAAATGATTGATCCGGATAGTCTGTTTACGTTTCTCTTTGGTTGGGTTGTACGATCGACTGACTAAGATATGAATTCCTCATTCAACATGACGTATACGTGCATACAAACTACCCAATGTCATTTCGTAAAGCTGTTGTCATAGCAATTTCTCGCAATGGGCGTTTCCCTGGTCTGGTCTCTCTCTCCCTTTGAGCATACTATGCAATTATTTGCAATCGAGTACACTTGGCATTTTTATTTCGTCATTTCATGTTCAAAACAGACGCTTTGGTTTTTGTTTTCCATTCACCGCTGTCATTTTTGGAGCATTTCATTTAAATCAAACCAAATAGAAACGGGATTTTTTTGGGCGCTTAGATTTCTTTTTTTTCTGTTTATTCACCCTTAGAATTACGTTTGCTGTAAACGGGAGCACGAAGATACCCATATACTCTCAAAAAGCTAACCATTTATCGAAGCCTGATCTTAGGTTTTGTATGCGACGCTTTCTTTCATCTTCATGCAAATCACGAATTCGTTTTTCCTCTTTGGCTGTGTTACAAATGACAATCAAATTTCGCAGGGTAGCCAACAATCATGAGTGTTTGATTCAATTGGCGCTTAGTCACTNTTAGTCACTTTGAGGATAGACGATGAAAAATGCATGGCTTTCACCTCCGTGTTATTAGTTAGTTAATTATTATTAGTTAACCTGCCGTAGATCCACCGACGAAAAAGTCAGTGCCGAACCGATTTGTCATTCGAACAGCTATTCATCCGAGGGTTGGAGGGTGGATTTGAGATGAGCGGCTTATCGTAGAAAGAAGCCCCATAAATCATTCTATTGGCTTGTCTTTTTGATAATCTGGAGGCTATTTTTGCATTTTTCATGCAGCACACGAAACCGGAATTGTCGAGGCGCACACGCTTAATGCTTTCCTGTAAACACTGTAAAAAATTTGCGATAGCTTTTATCATAAGTCGATTAAAAGTCGAGAAACAAATTTATTTTGAGGTATAGGTTTCTTACTCGCTTTCCGTTGATTTTAGTGATTTTTCCCAGCACTTTCGTACAATCATCTATGTACATTGTTCGATCTACCAAATCGTTTCAAACAGTTTTGGGATTGCCTTTCGGTTTCATTGCAATATCTCTTGCATTCTTTTTTAATGTAAGTTATAATTGAATGCAAATAATTTTGGGAAAGAACAATGTAAGCAACCAAAAAGCCACCATATTACAATCAACGGGAAAGTTAGACGGGACTAATGGAACTCCAAAACACACGACCTCAAGGGCGATGTGCTAGTAGTCAACATCACCGAGCCTCTTAAGTTTACCCCGAAAATCAGACGACTAAATTTCCGTTCCCCCTGGGAAACTGTTCGAGATCAAAATATGTGAATAATCGGCTACATTCTTACCGTTAATGAACAGCTTTTGATGACAGTGAGTACATTCACAATCAGTTGATCAGCATCGATCCTATCTGTACTTTTCCAGGTACCTCGGTGTCTATTGAAATGTTTGCACTTAAATTTCGAGCTTCTTCGATCAGTCGCACCAAATCATAAACTGAGAGGATAAAAGTGAACTTCGTGATTTAATACAATATTGCATATATTTGAGTACCGTATAAAGATTGTTGCGTCCGAGTAAGCCGCGAAAAATTTCATAGCTTCATTAAAACGAACGGTATCATCCTGTTTTGCTAATACTATAAAGTGCTTGGTCAAACCCCTAGACCAATTTGTTAACTGTTCTAAATTTTTAAATCAACTGACCCATTGCTGTTGCTGGTATTGTGAATCATGACCACTCACCTGCACCATGACCCTGAACGCTTGGTGTTTGACTCGGTTGATGTTAGTTAGCTCTTATGCATTGAGTTTGCTGGTTAACGAGTAACATTTTAAGCACACGTAGAGAAACGTGACAGCTGTTGTCTTTTTCAAATTTATTTCAAGCTTCCGGAATACGCAAAGACACGTTCTGACGTTAAACTTCGTTTTGAATGATTTATCTACTAGCCTGTATGAGTGGCATGTTTAAAAAATAGACTATCACTCTGTCAACGTTCACAGTAACAGGGTAGGAGACGAAGACGAGGAGTTATGCACTACTTTACACAACCCTTCTGCAATCAAGTTGTAATGCATCACATGTGCTATTGACCTTCAACCATGGTAGATGGATTTCGCAAACAACAGTGTATACATAGATGTGCGTTGCTAAATGCTCACTAGTGGTTGTCACTTCGTGGATGTTTATTCATTCCTCGCTGTTGATACACATTTGTTTATTGTAATTAACTTTTGTTGACGGGTTCTCTCCTCATTGTTCGGGTTGTTCTATAAATATACATTCAAACTTCGGGGGGTTGAATGCAACCCAGTCAGTTTATCCCTTATGAATTTTAAAAGATCTCACTATGTACACCCATGAGGGAGGTCACTCTGCACTTTTGTGAAATGCTTTTGTTTAGAATTATCACTTCGCTGTATTGAGGCACGATATTCTGGGAATAGCGGAGGCTTTATTGATCATTTAGTCAGACGTGGTTGCTTGCTCGCAATTTAACCTCCGAAATTAGACCCTTCGGAGTAAATAAACGAAGCAACCCCTAGAGACCGGATGTCACGAATAGTGAAGTCTAAAGCAGCTTTTGTCATCCAGTGACACCTGTGGCACCGCTTTGACATCAGATTATTCCTAACAAAAGGGTGTACATAGTAGTGTTCTGCTTTACAGCTGCGAGATCTGGTCCCTCCGCTTTGAGGATGCTAATCGACTTTTTTTATTGAGCCACCGATGTCTGCGAGGCATTGCCATTGTCTGCCGGGAACATCGGGTAAGCAAAGAAGAGGTTCGTCGTCGTGTCTATAAGTCTTGTTTCCATTTAACGGATGATTATCTGAAGGAAATGTCCTTGAACATTACACGGTTTCGTGTTCATTGTCCTTATAAAGCTGCGCTTATATCCTTATCTAAATCATTTACGAAGAGGAATCAGATTTTCTCCTTAAAATTTCACTGTCACATGGCAGCAGAGATCAATCGCTTTATCCTCATAGATGAGCGACCTAGTCCGAAACAATCGACAATAGATTACTCCGTAATTCTTTTGCTTTTGTGCATCGGGTAGATCGTTTGATTGTACCGTATCTGAACTGGATTTTTAGTAAAGTATCTGAGGGCGAAAATTCGGTTTTTTATAATGCATTCAGGCTTACTCGGTGAAATGCAGTAACAACTAAAATGTCGGGTCGCCAATATCAGAAACTCAGTTGATAAGTGAATAACTTTATGTCTTACTTTTGCGTAACAACCATATATGTATATATATATATATCATGACAGTTTTGTAAATAACGGTGTTGATCATTGTTCTTGTAGCTGGGGTAGTATAACTATGTTCAGTTGTTCACCAAGCTTGGCAATTGAATTGCAAAAGTTTCATCACCAATCGAGGTGACATTCTCAATGTAGTAACTGGATCAGCGCTTACTGATGTCCTTTTACTTAGATAGGTCGTTGAGTCATGTAGAGACGTGGCGTTCCCTGAATGGTTAATGTTTGTTCGCCTTGTGTCGATAGGGAATGAGATGGACGCGAGCAGTCTAACGGCTGGTCGTTGATCGATCAGTCTAAGCGTTACTGTTGTCCTCTTGTCACGTGTGACACGACCCACCTTCTTTGTGTTGACTGGTCCTTTTGTTGCATGGGGGTGTAGACTTGATCGATATCGATGTGTCAGTTGACAGAGTTTTCCGATGAATGCCAAGCTTCCAGAAATTCTCTTGCGTGCTACGTGCGGGCCTGATCGACGACAGATACACCAAACACCGAATGACAAATATATCTGCAAGCTGATAGACTTATGTCTACAAACCTACTTCGAATTCGACGGTAAAATCTACAAATATGTGAAAGGAACACCCATGGGTTCAACGGTTTTCGGATTTATTGCTGAGGCTGTAATGCAAAAGCGCGAAAGGACGATTCTACCACAACTCCAGCCCAAACTCTGCCTTAGATATGTAGATGACACATTCGTGATCCTGAAGTGATCGGAAGTGGACAGAACTTTCAACAACATCGACATCATCCGGGATATCAAGTTCACCATGGCAACAGAGCAAAATGACATTGGCATTTCTCGATGTTCTGGTAACAAGATCATTGTCCGAACCGCTAGAGTCATCAGCATACAGAAAGAAGACCCACAAGGATCAAATCTTGGAATACACCAGCAAATACCCAACCTCATCTTCACTCTCCGTGTGCCAGGCGATTCGGCATCCAAAGCTCGTGGTGTTGGGATTGCGCTGTGTCAAGGCCGAGCGTTCACTTCTCGACTGGATCCCGGCCAACAGCCGAATTTGCGTTGTACGCCTGGGTGGTTCAGTACGGATCAACAACTACAGAACGAAGCGTCGATGCTTATTCGTCGTTTCCGCGTATGCACCGACTGATTGCAGTTCGCCAGAAGTAAAGGTTGTAAGAAATGAACAGCACTGAACCCAACCTGCCACAAGAAGAGTTGCATTGGGACACTTTTCGAAAGGGCCAAAACACAGTGCAGCTGGGAAAAGTTGAGGCAGGAAGAGAAATATCTGCATCAAGTATTCCTCCGCAACTTCGTCAAAGGAACAACCGAATAAACGAGTAACCCTACCGTAAATGAAGAACATTTCGAAAGTGACCACACAATATTCAAGTTGCCCACCAACCAACGACAACCCTACGGAGAATCTTATCGATAACCAACAAGCGATAGGAAGACAAAAATCGAACAAATTTGATCTACCGCATCAACTGAAAGGACTGCAACAAGTACTATATCGGTCAAACAAACAAAATAGCAACTCGTGTGCACAAACACAAACTGGCCGTCAGAAGGCACGATACGCTCTCACTCATCTCAATTCACGAGGACCGAGAAGGATACAACCTCGATTTCAAAAACATCAAAGTCGTCGATCAGGCCCGCACGTAGCACGCAAGAGAATTTCTGGAAGCTTGGCATTCATCGGAAAACTCTGTCAACTGACACATCGATATCGATCAAGTCTACACCCCCA